TATAGCTTAACCAAACAAAATAGGAGATAAATCAATATCATTTCTTTTATTTTCTCTCAAATCTATCCAAGCAAAATGAAAAGAAATCACAATAATATTTTCTTTCTCTTCTCTTGTGACTTCTTTTTTTTAATTTTTTTTTTTTGGACAAAGATAGCGTTAGTACGTTAATATAGTCATATTACAATTGAAAGGGTTTGTGACTGTTCCATCAACTCGAACCTCTGACTTCTTCCTTACCACACTCTAAGGTGTTACTGCTGGAACATTGGGCCAAACCCCAAGGTCTTCTCTTATAACTAACTTATAATTTCTTTTCTTTTCTTTCCTAAGTTACTAAACATATTTGGGAATATACTATTTTAATAAATTTTTAATTAAAATATAAGATGAAAAAAATTAGTATGTCTTATAACTTACTTATCATTTCTTTTCTTTTCTCTCCTAAGTTACTAAACATAGGATAAGGGTTGTTTTTGAGAATAAATTATTTTAATAAATTTTTAGCTAAAATATAAGATGAAAAAAATTAGAATATTTAAAATAGTTTTTTTGATTTTTTACGAAAAAAAAATTCATGTAAAATATAGAGAATAAAGGAAATCTTTTATCTTTTGGTATAATTATTTGATTTTTTTAGTGATTATTAAACTTTTTAAATGTTTTTAAGTTCCCCAAAAAAAAAAAACTGCCCCCTTTTTTTTTGTGAGTAAATTCATCTTTCTATTACTTTTTTCACTAAAAATAGTACACTATATTTAGACTAGAAAGTGACACATGTCATGCGTGTGCAATTCAAATAAGTAAATATAAAATAAAATATTTACTAAATACTGTGTTATAGTCAAGTGGTAAGAATCATATTTTACAAATTTATGATCCAAGATTTAAGTCTTACTTATCTATGTTTTTTTTTTCTTGTAATTAAAAAATAAAAGACACATGACAAAAGGAGAAACCATCAAATATTTGGACACCAAATTCAGTGCTCACGTATATAATAGAATAAAAGATAGATAGATGAACCAAAGACCCGGATGATTTCCCTAACTAAGGCACTTTCACAACTTTATTCCTATAGCGATCCCGGTTGTCCCTTTACTGTTCTGTTGTATTCCGGACTCGGTTCCGTGGAGTTGGTAGTTGTATCTATCTTGTTGTCGTACTTTAATTCCATTTTGTTTAAGTTTTAGGATGTGTTGGGCATGTTTCGAACAGGTGGGTTGAACCTTGGTCTAAAATCTTGTTGCCAGGTTTTTGGTCGTTCCACTCGAGCGGGCCTTGTTGCGCTCGAGCGGAGATTGCACACTCCCAGTATTTCGTGTCCCTGCAAAACTCCTGCAGGTGTGTTTTTTACGCTCGAGCGGTAGCGCTCGAGCGGGTACTCTGGCGCTTGAGCGGGTAGTACTTTTTGATGTAAGTTCTGGGAGGGGGAAATCTACGCTCGAGCGGACTGGTTTTCGCGCTCGAGCGGATGTACTTTATTCTTGTGTCTTGGCGCTCGAGCGTACCTAGTTGTTTGTTCTTGACGCTCGAGCGTTGTGTTCTCTGCTCGAGCGGGAATGTCGTATATCAGTTGGCAGCTGGGCATTTTAAAATCACTTTTTACATTCTCTCTCTCTCTCTTACTTTCTAAAAAGTTATTTTGAGAGCTCCTCTCTCTAGAAACTCCCTTCTCTCTAGGGTTTGATCTAGTTAGAGTGTCTTCCTATCCTCCGGCCTTTGTAAAAAGTGTGTGGATCGTCGATGGCTCCATTTTGATCCGTGAATCTTTGAGTTTGGAGCATTTTGGTTTTCTTCAACTTCCCCGTTTGAGCTCTAACTTCGAGGTAGGGATATCCTACTCCTTCTCATGAGTTTTGTCTTTGAATTTTAGTATTTTGATGAGTTGGGGGTTGTTGGGTAATTTTGAGAAAGTTTGGGCCTTTGTGTAATTTTACAAAAGTTAGGGTTTTGTTTATATAAACTTATATGCATGTTTGGTATAGAGAAATGAGATCAATATTGGTTTATTGATGAAAATGGAACCTTAGGGTTGTGATGTTAATTATGGGAAAGACTCTAATTACATTGATAAATTAATTGGTATAATTAATTTGAAGAAAGGATGAATTAAATTGAGAATGTTGGAATTGGAGGTGTACGGGATTAAAGGGTGTAGTTTGATTCGTTCATCGCTCACCTAGTTGAAATGTTGATTATATATCCATTTGGTGCATTTATTTTCAGTATAGAAATAACTGCTTTGGGCTACCGGTGGAGGATAGTCTTGATTGTTGTAGACACTGCATGATGATTAGGCAAACTAAAACTAATCGATTGAGTATGCTATTGAATATAGCAACTGGAATAATACATTAACTCTATGTATTGATTGATTGTATATGATCTATATTTATCTACATGTGTTGTGTGGGAGGAGATGGGGGATGTACTCCACGGTTTAGGGGAAGATAGGGGATAGACCTCTAAACTGGATTTTGTGTGACATTGATACAGCACTACAATGTGTATCAAGTGTTGATTATGAAAGAGTTTGAATTGATTTGATATAACACTAAAATGTATATCGTTATCAATTGTAAAGTATAGAAGTGATTCTATGTTATGTTGATACAACACCGAAATGTGTATTTTTCGCAAAGTGTGGGAATGGTTTATGTGTTATTGATACAGCATTAAAATGTATATCCCTCATGAATTTTGAAAGTGTTTTAAAGATGAGTCTAAATCTCATTTAGTTATTTGGCTAGGTGTTGAGCCTTGTTTTCAAACTCAAAGTTGGAAAAGACATGGGAAATGAAATGTAACATGGACTTAATGTCATGAAATCGAAATGTGATATATGTGGATGTATCTGTGTTGACCATCTATCAACTGCTAATCTTTTAGTCATTGTTCATGGCTGGTTTAGTGTATTTCTACTGGGCTGTGGCTCACCCTCTATGGGACATCATTTTCAAGTACAGGTAGCATGCCACCTCCAAGGACATAGCTTGGGTTAGAGGCAGATAGACTGCTTGTTATTTTCTTTCTTTTGATGTATTACATATAAATTCAAGCCAAGGGCTTAAGATGTATTGAGTTAGCACTCTTCTTTTTGTAACCAAGTGTTAACTTGGAAAGCTGTAAGCCCGTAGGGCATTTGCTTTTGTTGTTAACATGTAATACTTTTGTAAGAACTATTCAGACAAATGGAAAGATGATTGGTTTCTTTGTATCAATGCATGCCTAAGTTGATGGGTTTTAATGTTATTATTTTGAGGGCATTACAATTCCCACTCTAGGGTGTGTTTTTATCTTTTTTCCTATTATAGGGTAAAACGGCATTAGGAAAGCCGTGTTCTGGAAACCGACTTTTCAAAAGCCGTGTTCTACAATTAAAATAATAAAAAAAATATATACTCAAAAAAGTGGCTTTTCAAAAGCTGGTTTTAATTAAGTTTTAACTAATTCTTAATTAATTAAAAACGATTTTTCTAAAAACGTTTTTACACTAAATTTTTTTAAAATTTATTTTTTTATTTTTTATTTTTAGATGGTTCGGAAATGAAAAATTTATTTTCAACATAAATATTTTTTGACCAAATTTTTTTTTATACAAAAAGCGATTTTCTGAAAACCATTTTTATATAAAAAAAATTTCTTGTTTGTGTTTGGGTTTAAGTGACCCACGTTTTTTTTTACTCCAACACTCTAAACACTTAGGCCCTGTTTGTTTTCAGAGGTAGAATAGAGGGGATTCATAGTAAGGGGATTAAATAAAATTGTGTTTGTTTTGATGATAGTTGTTAGTGTAGGAATTGAATTTTATGTATTGTATTTGATCATTGTAACTTTCACAGATGCTTGTAATGAACTGATGGTATAGTCGTTGATATTATCATGTTGTTGCTACACTTGCTGCATCAGAAGAAAGCTTCGCAAGATACTTAACATTACGATATCTCTCGTCTTTTTTTCACTCTTTGATTTAAGTTTTGTAATTTGAATTATATTTTTTATAAACCGCCAATCCGCCCGAACCGCCAAGGCAAATCCGATACCACATCCACCTCCACCTCCTTCATCCCAATCCTCCTTCCAACCTCCATCTATATCCCTTCTCCATCCTAATCCCTTCCCCAACTCTACAAACAAATACAACACTAAATAACCCCACCTCCATCCTAATCCCCTCCCATCCATTACACCCCAAAACAAACGGAGCCTTAACACCATCACCACTTGAAAGGAAGAAGACCCATGTTGAAACACTCCAACACCCACGTTGTTTTGGTTCCCTACAAAGAAGACAAAGATGCGAAGCAACAACTGTTGTCCCACCGCGACCAGCAAAAAACGAAGAAGACCACCGCGACCAATAGCTGCTGCTATCCCACCTCTTTATCACACCATAGCGGTCCCTCATTTATCATGCCGGAGCTTCGCACATCTCTCTTCCATCCTCCAGATTCAAACTTGTTTTGCAGAAATTATGGTTTAAATTTTTGATTTGTGGATTTTCAATTTCAAAATTAGGGATTTTTAAAATTAGGGTTTTGATTTTGATTGAGAATATGTTTACCTGACATTAGTAAACAATTTGATAATTTTTTTGTGAAAATGGTTTTTTCTAAAGCCGTTTTATAAAACGGTTTTTCTAAAATTGTTTTTTGTATTCAAAATATTTTTGGTAAATAAATATTTTTGTTGAAAATATAAATTAAAAAAAAATAGTGTATAAATGGTTTTACAAAAAAATGTTTTTAATTAATTAAAACTGTCTTTTAAAAAATTGAGGGTGTGTTTGGTTTGTGTTTTGAAATAAATTTTCAAAAAAAAATTTGGAGAGAGAGTTTAGAATTTTTTTTAGTTTGTTTGGTTGTATATTTTGAACTTTTTTTTGGAGTTTTGGAGTTTTGGAGTTTGTGATGATTTGATATTTTGTTGTAGTTGAGTAGATGTGTGTGAGGGAAAAAGTGATTGAGAATGAGAGAGGAGAGAGAGAATGTAATTGATTGATATGTAGGAGAGAGAAAGTGATTTTGAATTTTTTTTTTCAAAAAATTTGAACCAAACAAAATTTTAAAATTTTCTCAAAAATTATATCTTGATACAAACCAGACAAACCTTGATTTTCTATAGCATAATGCTTTGTAGCTCGAAAAACAAAGGCTCGAATGGCCCAAAATCTTACTTATATTCTCTCTCCTCGCTATCTCGTGCTCTATCCTTCTCAGACTCCAAACCATCTCTGTCTCCTGATCCCAAGTCACTCTCTACTCATACAGTAACGATGACGCCAAAATCCTCTCATCCCAAATCCCTCTCATCCCTATGCCGAAATCCTCTCATCTTTGTTAAACCTCCATCTGTACTCAAACACAAATGACGAACGCCGAAAAAAACTCCTCACCTACCAATGCGATGCTTCTTATACGCTAACAACGCCGGAAACTCGTCATTACGTATCAAAAGAAAACGAATCTGAGGTAAACCCAAATTCGACAAAACTAGGTTTATGTTTTGGCTTCAATTTCTATACGAACTTGTCGATTGTGGCTGTTTCATTTTGGATTTTGCCTTCAATTTGTGTTAGGGTTCCCTTTAATTGTGAGAAAATGTGTTTGGGACTTATGAATCTATGATTGTTAGGGTTTTGTCATTATGGGTTTTGTCTTCAATTTATGATTGCTATTTTGATTTTGATTTTAAACCAAATTTGTAACTTCTGAACTTTGTGCATTTGGTATGGAAATCTATTGATGAAATATGTTGAATATGTTCTTTGAAATGTGGGTTTTGCTTTAAATTCATAATTGTTCTTTTGCGTTAAATCTGAAATGTGAACTTTGTGCATTTGAAATATGGAAATTTGTTGATGAAATATGTTCTTTATCAATTATTCTAACTTAGTTGAATCTGTTATTTGAAATGTGGGTTTTGCTTTAAATTCAACATGTGCAAAAATCTGTTAATAAGTTCATATGCATGTTTTGGGTTTTGGTTTTGCTTTAAATCTAAAATATGGGTATTGCTTTAAATTTACAATTATTGATTCAAAGAAAATCTTACTGAATTTAGAGCGGATTGATAATATTCCAACTAACTTATCTATAATAGTTTACATTCCTTATGACATTATGCATTAGTATGAGGCTTGTCAAATTTTGTAGTTGGATCACATTACACATTATGCATCAGTATGAGGCTTGACATTATGCATCATTATGTATCAGTATAAGGCTTGTCCAACTAAGTGCTATTTGGTAGTTGAATCTGTCACACTATCGAACATACAAGTAATCAGGAAGAAATTAAAATGGCTTTCGTATTTTGTATGCAGATTAAAAAATGGCTTCATCTTCTACTAATAATAACAACATAAGATTAAAACCAAGATTATGTGATTGTGGAAGAACAACTATACGAACTAATGAGAATGAAAATCAAAGGCGTTTGTTTTTTGTTTGCCCATCAAAATATGTAAGTATCTATTATATGAATTAATCTTTTAGTATTTGCAAATTTATTTGTGTGATTTGATTAACTGATTCTTGTGCATTGTAGAATACTAAGGAACACTACAATTACTTCAAGTTCTTCGATGATGATGACGACGACATTACCTCCACAATCTGTTCCAATGCTGGACCTCAGACAACTATAAGAACAAAAGAATATAACGATCTAAGGAGAATGCTTGGTGAGATGGACAATGAAATTCTTGAGCATGGGTATAAGGCTTCAAAGGCTAGAGCAGAATTTCAAGGCAATGACTTGTGTCATTGTATTTTGTGTCTTGTTGTACTTTATCATCTAAATGACTCAGTTGCTAGGTTTTGGCCCATGTTATGAATGTAATAAAAAACTTGTTTTGTATTTTGTGTCTTTTCCAACTTTATCAACTAAATGACTGACTTGTTACATTTTGGGGAATAAAAGTGAATTTTATGAAAAACCTGTTCTGTATTTTGTGTGTTGTCTATGTGGATTATGTAGATTGTGAGAGGCACAGATCTATATTTCACGTGGATGTTGTTCTAATCTATTTTGAGTTCTACTCTATAAATGTATGTTATATTGAATTGGGAGACGAATGGACCTCTCTTTGTAGACATGGAACAGCCAAGACTGTTGATGACTTAGCACATTAACTGGACATGGAACAACTACCAATTCCAACAAAGAATAAATTCATGAGTTTGTATTTGTATGACCAGCACTAGTGAAGACCTATAATGCAATATATTTTATGAGTATAGACCTGTAATACAACTACAAGTCAAACCATGGAACAACTTACTCCCATAAAACCTACTTCAATACAAATACAACTACAATTCAAACCATGGAACAGCCATGGAACAACTAATACTCCTATAAAACCTGTATGACCAGCACTAGTACTCCCATAAAACCTGCTTCAATACAAATACAACTACAAATCAAACCATGGAACATCCATGGAACAAGTATAATTCAATTAAATTGAACCCCAAATCCAACTACAATTCAAACCAACAACAATTCAATACAAATACAACTACAATTACAACTTAAACCAACATTTTCAAATGAAGCCAAACAATAGCCACAAAATGTATGGAAACGAAATAAAACCAAACAATCCGAAGTTTACAAATGAAATGCACCTACAATTAGTACTGTGAAACTAAAAAAAAAAAAAAATGATGAGACATTTGGATTCGCTTTTATATTCAAGTCAACAAATTTTGATGGTACTATCGAACTTTGACGGCTTATATTGTTGACCATTCCGGATTGAGTCTGAGATGTGCTTCCAATATTGTTCCCTATTTGCATTGTGCTAACCCGTGCCTGTAAAAATAAAGGAAATATTACAACTATTGTCCACAAACATATTCACCAATATAAAATTTAATTTGTCACAGGAATATATATAGTCATATATTCAACACGTACCGGTATATATATACAGTCTTGTGTGCCATCCTTACAAGGAAAATATTAAGGTTGATGTTGCAGCATCTTATCATCAAATAGTAACAAAATGTCATTAGTAATTTGAAATATTATAATATAAACCCACAATAAACAAAGTGCAATACATTAAGTCCGTTCAACACATACCGGTACATACATACTGTCTTGTGTGCCATCCATAGAAGGAAAATAGTAAAGTTGATTTTGCGGCACCTTATGAGGAAACAGTAACAAAATTTAATTAGTAATTTGAAGCATTACTACTAGTCCCAGGAGGTACAGTACTAGTACATGGCGCATTACTCGCACTACCCGATTCAACTATTCTCACTCGATCCTTGATTTCCTTCAACCCAAGTTGAATCACTTTGTGTTTTTCATCATCATTGGTAGCAAGTTCTAGGATCTCATCCAACGTCTTGTGATAGTTAGTATGCAACATTGGATTTAGAGCAACCCCGGAGTTAGTATATGTGGTTGGAATGCATGTGTACCCTCTTTCCAAATCTTTTCTCCATCTTGAAACAATGTATTTATTTGGCACCTCATATATGGACCTCTCAATGAGCACACTAAGTGAATGGGCACACATAATACCTCTAAACTCAAACAACCGACACATACATTGGAGCTCACATTCAATTGAATTACAATACACAACAAATTCCACTTTATTCATCCCCTCACCCGAAAGAATAGCCTCCCTCACATGATAGGTACAAATTGATCCCTCCTCTTTCATAAGATTTGCACGACAGTACATTAGACGCTTTATTTCTGCTTGCACTTCTTTAAATTTTGAATTGGTGTAAGCTGCACGAAATTGCTTCTCAAAACCATACACCGTTAAGCAATCATACAATTTATTACGAGAATTCAAATTTGCTTTTGTCTCTTTCTCTATCTTACTTCTCAATGCATTGTCATACTGCTCAACAAATTGCTTTAAGGTTGTCTTGGAGTTCACATATCCATCAAAAAATGCATTCATGCTTTCATTTCGTTGTGTAGTTGACATGCCAGCCCAAAATATGTCTTTAACATAGGCAGGAATCCACCTATGTCGCTCACGGTATAATACCCCCAACCACTCGTTATCATGCAGATTGAATTTTGCAATCATTGCTTGCCAATATTCCTCAAATTCATCTTTTGTGAATGAATCATAAACTGCATTACTCAAAGCAACCTTTATGGAGTCATATTGCGAATATCCTCTCAATTTCTCCGGAATTTTTTTCATTATATGCCATAAACACCAACGATGTCGAGCCTGTGGGAAGACAATTTCTATGGCATTTTGCATAGCTATGCACTGGTCAGTTATTATAGCTTTTGGGGGAGCATCTGACATGCAACTTAACCATTCTTTGAATAGCCAAACAAATGTCTCAGTGTTCTCATTACATAACAACCCACAACCAAACAAAATTGACTGCCCATGGTGATTAACTCCTACAAACGGAGCAAACGGCATATCATATTTGTTTGTCAAATAAGTTGTGTCAAAGGAAACAACATCCCCAAATGCTTTATAAGCCGCTCTACTCCTTGCATCCGCCCAAAACAAGTTTCGCATGCGACCATCTTCATCAAGGTCAATTGCCGAATAGAAGTTCGAATTATGTTGTTGCATTTTATGAAAATAAAATGCAACTGATTCGGCATCTCCTATCCCAAGTTTCAATCTTCTTGCATTCTCAATATGATTTCTTGCATCTCGTTCATCAAACGTTAATGCCTTATATCCCTCTGCTTCAACAACCATGGAATGAAAATTCCTAGCCACCTCAATCCCTGATACATCGTTAACTTCTAGTTTCCTCTTCACCGGAGTAAGAATCCTCTTATTTATTGCAAAATACCTTGAGTCACTAGGAATCAAATCATGAGTGTGCTCAAGCACAACTGTGGTTAACTTATATCTTCCATCCTTTTGTAGACTGGCTCTTACTCTTGCTTTACAATCAATTTTTGATGACAAAGATGATTCCAGGGGATTTACTTCTGATTTTTTTCTTCTATTCCGCGCCCGAGTACATTCAATTCCAAAGTACTTTACTTCCCCATCACTTGTTACATTTTGTGTTCTATAAGCTATAGCAAATCCAAGGTGTTTCGCATATTTTGCGTAAAATGCATACACTTCTTGCTTTGAGGTAAAATACATACCTTTGTTTGGTTCTTCAACTTCACCACTCTCATTAATTGAAAGATTGTTATCCTCTTCTTCAACTTTCTCATTCCCATTGAATGAATTATTGTTTGAATCAATATCCATTGTAGCTTCAAAACAACAAGAACAATTTAAGTTTCAGAGCTTTTCTACTACTTTTACACTTCTATTTCGGACTGAAAATTACCAGTATAGCAACAGACAATTATCACAACCAACAATTTTGGAACAAGAAGTTCAGCATAATTAGCATAGATGAACAACCAAAATTTTCTGAACCAGTTTAAGTTTCGAAACACAGATGGGCAATCAAAATTCGGTCTGATTAACCAAAAATAAATATAAAAAAATAACAATAATAACAACCATATGCAAAAAAGAAAATTTTCTGTTCATTGAAATTAGCTGATCTTGTTTGATTGAAATTACGAAAATTTTAACATGAAGATTGCAATTAGTTCATCTTGTTGATTGAAACCAAACATGAAGACAGTATATAAATTTTCGGAAACATCCTAAAAACAAAATCAACTAATTTCAATCACCCAATCTGAAACCCTAAATTAAACAAAACAACTAATTTCAATCACCCAATCTGAAACCCTAAATTAAAAACAAAATCAACTAATTTCAGATCATACACAATGCCGTGAGTTAACTAAAAATCAATCCATTACTTACAATCACACACACAAGCAGCAGCAGAGGCAGCACCCTTGCGCCACACACAGCAGCAGCGGCAGCGGACGCAGCCTGGTCAGCGACACACAGGTCGGCTCCTCTCTCTCTATTCTCTGTTACCCTGTCGATGCTCCTCTCCTCTCACTGTTTAGAGGTTAATCGCTCTCCTCTCACTGTTTAGAGGTTAGTCGTCTCCGTCTCCTTTCTCTCTGCTCTCTGTTCCTTCCTTTCTTTTTTTCGAATGAAAGGCGTGGCTGAAACAGAGATGTGGGTGTACAAGGCAATTGGAGGTGTACAAAAAAATCGGGATATATATATATATATATATTGAGTGTGAGTGATGTGTTGAGTAGCAGTTCTAAACTCGTGGTTACAAACCACGAGTTCACAAATTTTTTTTTTCCTAAAAGCGTGGTTACAAACAGCGAATTCAGAACAAATTTTTTTTTGAATGAAATCGTGATTTGTAACAGCGAGTTCGAAAGAAAAAAAAAATAATTAAAATCGCGTATTATAACCGCGATTTCTTAATCAAAATCATTTTTCGTAATCACGAATTTATGATTTCTCAACTTTCACACAAAACAGACGAAATATGTTGAAACCACAATTGTAAACCGCGAGTTAACTTATTTTGAGAATTCTTTAAAAATCATGCTTAGTTTGGGAATTGATTTACTTTTTTAGCTTATTTTGGAAATGCCCCGATATAAACCGCCAAATAGACCTTCTTCAACTCCTCCAATTCACTTTTTCATCGCCACTGCCCATTTGTGTATAACAGACCCAATTGTAATACATAAATTCATACGTATATCTTCAATTCGACACACCACAAGATGGAGGAGGACTCGCAGCCCTATTCCAATTCCAACATTTTCAGCGTTCGAATCGTCTCCATCGATTACTACATGGCCCCTCCAATACCAGACCTCGACATCTCTTACAGCAGCTTCCAAGGTTCTCTCTCCTTCACTACCCAATTCACTTTCTTCAATGCCTAAATCTTTCAACTTTATGTATATATATATATATATATTAAGCACCCACTTCGTATTTGATGATTTTCAGTAGTAGTTGATGAGTTCGACTTTTACGGCCTGTTTGATTACTTGGAGTATTAGTCATAACAATCTCATGGGATAATTATGTGCATGATATTTTGTAGGATTAACCTTGTGTTTGGTTGGGGATTTCCGGAGAAATTTGAAAAGGGAAAGGAAAAATGAAAATGTGTGTGAAACTAAGTAAAATATAGGTATATTTTATTCATATTTCACTTATCTTTTTCATTTTCCTTTTCAAATCTTTTCTCAAATCTTCCAGCCAAACAAACACAACATATGAGTATTATGTCGGATGTCATTTGTGTGATCCAAATGCAGGAATATGAATTTGTTAGGATTAACGGTCTAATCCTACGTCGTTATGCTGGAATCAAACAGGCCCGAGTTTCACTCTAATTCTCTCAATTTTTTTTTTTCTTTTCATTTAATTGTTTTAGGAGGGAAGGTGAATGAAGTTCCTGTGATAAGGATTTATGGGTCGACTCCGGCTGGGCAGAAGACTTGCTTGCATGTTCATCGAGTAAGATGATTATTTCTCGTTTATTTGTTTGTTTTGGGTTATTTGACATAATGGGTTGACTTTGAATTTTGCAAGTGTGGGTTATTTTAGTTGCAATTTCTGTTTCTATCTCTTACTGGGTTAGGAATTCAAGATTATTTTAATCATACTGAAATAAATATGTTATGGCTGTTGTGATAGAACTAGTGTTTTTTGGTTTACATGGTGTTATGACAAGGCTTTATAGATGAACTGAGTTGAATGGAGCATTTAGTAATTCAACCTAGTTTGGAGTTGTGTTTTAGCTTAGCACAGATTTGGCGTGAATCTATGGAGGCGTGTTCAAGCTCAGCTCAATTGCCATGTCTGCATCAATATTCATTCAACTAGAAGGTTAAAAAAGACTAAACATAGAAAGAAGGTTAGCAAAGCAATTATAGTAGACAGACATGGATTGACTGGATACTATTTTTATCCCCTCCTCTCTGGATGAGCGTGGATAGGCAAACAAGTGAATAACATATATAGAAATTTCATTATCGAAACATATATGTAAATAAAAATCTACTACATGTGTATGTACACATATAGAACCTCATTTCACTACCTATTTACTAGTATGAGCATGCTGAGCTGAGAGCTTGTTTGCTAAATGACCATGCAAATCAGGCTCGTGCTTGGTTCATCAACTAGGCAAACAATTCTTGTTGTCTTGAGCCTGAGCTTTTTTTAGACATTTGTTCATTTCTTATGCCAATAATATTAAGTGGTTTTCTTGGTGAATGTCAAATGTGACAGGGATCAATTAGAATCATGGGTTTATATAGTGGTAGATTTTTGTTGAGGTGTCTTGTTACTGTACAGTACAGTGTACATTGAGATTTACCCAGGCCCTTTGTGGGGTCTGGGGGCAGCACCCTGGCCTGCAGATTTAGGATAAACTACCAATAAATCCTAATAGTTTGACTTAATTCCCATCAAGTCCTATTGAAAATAAGTCATAATAAAATCATCGTTAAAAATAATTTTTTGTGATGATTTTTTTTATATGTCGTGAAAAATTGACAATTAGTATTTTTTTGTCACGATTTTATAAATTGTCTCTAAAACTTACAATTAGTGACTTTTTTTGTGATGAATTTTTCAGATTGTCATTGAAAGTTGAAAATTAATGGCTTTTTTTATTTTTTTGTGACAATTTTTATACTGTCGCTGAAAATTAAAAATTAGTGAAGTTTTTTAATAGTGTTTAATGAAAAATGCCACTAATTATCATAGGACCTATTGGACAATAAGTCCACCTATTGGGACTTACATGTAAGTCCCCCGAAGATTTAGTGGTACATATTGTTATTTTTGAGTAGGGTTCCCGAGTGTTACAGAAAAACAGAGCTGCGGATTTGTTCTTGTAATTCTTATTGCGTATGGTGGGTTTTGATCTTTTCTCCGTCATGGACATGGGTATCCTGCTAAACAACGTATTGCAATGTTCTTGTTTTTCGGTGTGTGCTTGTTTTTTATTCACTGCTTTATTGTGTGATTGAAACCATGATCTTGCACAAAAATTTCATTTGGGGCTTAGTTTTTCTGTCTCGTACTTTGGACCTCCTTTACTCATGCAATTATTTTTTGTGTATGTTGAGTGCCAAATGACTGATAATGATAAGTTAGAATCATAAATGTATAGTAGGTAGATAGTAATAGGGCTCACTTTCCCAATACCACCTCATTATCTGTTTAGTTATATTTTTGTAGCACACATTGGGGACATTTCACTGGCACGCGAGTCCTATGTTTGGACATGCTTTAGCATCCCGGTGTGGGTTTTTTAAAATAATTTTACAATGTTGATTTGTGGTCAATGTATAATATGTGGAAACAAAGAGGGGGGGAAGTGAAAAAATATACACCCACATATACATGATGCCTTTTATATTTATGTGCTGTAAATTTAAATTCATATGCATAGAAAATAAAAATATAATTTTGTCCCCGCCATGTTAGTATTTTATTTTTTAAAAAATCGTTGTATCACGTGTCCGTGCTTGTTTGGCCAATTCTGTTTGTTTATTAAATTCAAACACATTTGAGCCCACATATTATAAGCTAGCATCAGATTAGAGCCTAAATATTATAAATAAGCATCCTAACAGGTGACAAAGTGTACCTATGCAATTGAGATTTGTCGAGGTTCATCTTTCTCAAAATGTATCTATATGTTGTCGTGTCCTTGCTGTGCTTATGCCCTTATTTTGGATTTCCCATGTAAATCCACTGTCTTGTCTTGTTTTCTGATTCTGCATTAGTTAGGACCTATCTATTAATTAAAAGCTTGGTCACATTGATATTTTTGAATGTTTGAAAAAGATAAGTGTTTTCTAGATGGTCCCCCCTCTTTAATTTAGTTTGCCGGCATCCTGTCATAAAATTATTTTTGGCTTGATTTCTTGTCTTTTGATGCAGGCTTTACCTTACTTATACATTCCATATGCAGATTTAATGCTTCAGCCTAACCAAGAAGGTACAACACATGTTTTGAATCGGACAATTTAGCCTTTCACTATATATATATTTAATTTAAAATTATTAAGTGTGCTTCCATTTGTGTCGCAAATCTATCTGCAGGTGCTGACCCACATATTTTCTTAGGACTGCTTTGCATTTTATTTGAGCTTTGAATTCTGAACCTTTAGTGTATTGCTCTGTTAGTGTCTTGCAGTAAGAAGTATTTAAGGTAATTATTTATTGTTTTCCCCTTTTTGAAGTAAAGGAACCTTTGGGCTACATAGATGCACATGATCACATGCAAGCATACATCCCCACACAAATTCTGTTATATTTATGGTCCTTCAGTCCAGGGTGATTGTATGGTCGAGATGTCTTTAACATGGTTATTTGACTGCTATACTACTAGACATCCCAATTGTTGAGCAACAAGAGTAGGATGGGCTAAGAAGCATGGATATGACACGGACACAACAATTTTTAAAAAATACAAGACATGAAACATTCAACTTATATAGTTTATATATTTATTATATGCCACATATATATTTTATTTATTGATAATTAAAAATAGAATGTAACACTAATTTCTGAACTTTAGATGATGAGGGATTGATAGGTATAAATGTACATTTCTCTTTTATCGTTGGGTCCTAAGTTATTTTGTTTGTGTATCCAAGCGATGACTGTCTTGGTCTAAAAAAGTTTTAAAAACAGTAGGGCACGCCTATGAAGCACGGACACCTCCCCAGGGCTTGCGTGTCAGTGTTTGACATGTGTTGGATAGGGACATGCATCGGACACGTTGTGGACACGTGTTTGACACTCTCCCTAAGGTGTCACTTGGACACGCTCAGACACATTTCGGACACTGCGGGGTACAAAACCTAATTTCTGAAACTTCTAAATGGGGCCAAACTGTAAAAAACAAAAATTGAAAAAGAAGAGAGAGAAGAGAATTGAAGAAGGAGAAGAGAAGAACAGAGAAGAGAGTGGGTGAAGAACTTGAATTGGTGAAGAACCAGTTGAACAATAGATCGAGGTATGTCCTTTGTTCTTCTTCTTTGCTGTTTTTCTTCTTCTTTCTTCAGTTCGTCTCTCTCTACCTGTGTGTCTTTCGGCTCTAGCTCTCTCTCTCTCTCTCACTTTGTCTCCTCTCTCTCTTGCTGTTCGTAGTTCGTCCCTCTGTCTCTCTCTATTTTCGTCTCTCTCCCCTTTTGTTTTCTAGGTCTCTGATCTATGTTCATATATATATATGATTTGTGTGTATATATATATATATATTTTATTCTCTCTTTGAGAGATTAAAAATACTTTTTCTTTTCATTTCTGTTTCTTCTCTCTCTGATTTGAGATTAAAAATATCTTTTTTATTATTATTTTTTTTTAATAAC